GGCCACTGCACTCCAGTCTGGGTGACAGACTGAGACTCCAACTCAAAAAAAAAAAAAAGAGAAAAGGAAAAAGAAAATAGAAAATAGGGTACAAGTTGAGTATCCATTATCCAAAATGCTTGGGACCAGAACTATTAAGATTTCTGATTTTTTAGGATTTTAATATTTGCATATACATGATGTCTTGGAAATGAGACCCAAGTCTAAACAGAGTTCACTCGTGTTTCATATATATCTTATACACATAGCCTGAAGGTAATTTTATACTCGATTTAAATAATTTTGTACATGAAACGGTGGTTCATGCCTATAATCTCAGCAATTTGGGGGCTGAGCTGTGAGGATTGCCTGAGACCAGGAGTTTGAGACCAGCTTGGGCAACATCTACAATATATCAAAACATAACATATCCTTACATGAAGTAGGCAGACTAAAACAATATTTCTGTTTGAATCCAATTTTGTTACTATATTTGGTTTTTGTTGTTGTTGTTGTTTACTTTGAGTTGGAGTCTCACTCTGTCGCCCAGACTGGAGTGCAGTGGCCTCTCCCGGCCACCACACCCTCGACCTGCAATCCTCCACCTTAGCCTCCAAGCCTTGCAGTCCTCCAGCAATCCTTCCACCTTAGCCTTCCAAGTAGCTGGAACTACAGGCGCACGCTACCACACCCGGCTAATTTTTTTTTTTTTTTTTTATTGTAGAGATGAGGTCTCACCAAGTTGCCCAAGCAGGTCTCGAACCCATGGGCTCAGGCAATCCACTCACCTCAGCCTCCCAAGGCACAGGATTACAGGCTGAGCCACCGAGCCTGGCCAATTTTGTTACTATAAGGAGGACTGGAAAGAAACTTCAAATATCAAGTATTGTTTGGGTGAATGAGGCAGTGTATCCTTAGTTGTCTTCGGATGTCTAGTAGTAAGTACAGCATTGTAGTTAACACTTTAAGCCAGTCATAGTGGCTTATGACTGTAATCCCAGCACTTTGGGAGGTGGAGGCAAGAGGATTGCCCGAGTCCAGGTGCTCAAGACCAGCCTGGGTAACTTGGCGAGACCGCGTCTCTACAATAAATAAAAAAAATATGCCAGGCATGGTGGTGCATGCCTGTGGTTCCAGCTACTTGGAACGCTGAGGTGGAAGGATTGCCTGAGCAGGTCGATGAGTGTGCCACTGCACTCCAGCCTGGGCGACAAGAGTTAGACAACAACTCAAAACTTTTTTTTTTTTTTTGAGTTGGAGTCTCACTCTGTCACCCAGACTGGAGTGCATGCTTAATTAATTTTAGATGTTACCTACAATCTGTTCACACAGCAGGCACAAGTGTTTTTTTTTTTTTTGAGTCAGAGTCTCACTCTGTCACCCAGGCTGGAGTACAGTAGCATGCTCACGGCCACTGTAGCCTTGACCTGCTGGACTCTGGTGATCCTCCTGCCTCAGCCTTCCAAGTAGCTGAAACCACAGGTGTGCACCACCACGTCCAGCTAATTTTTATTTGTAGTAGAAACGAGGTCTCGCCAAGTTGCCCAGGTTGATCTCGAACCCCAGGACTCAGGCAATCCTCTCACCTTGGCCTCCCAAAGTGCTGGGATTACATAGAGGCTTGAGCCACCATGCCCAGCCTAAGAATCTTTTAAAAATATAAAGCTCATTCCCATTCAGGCTTCTTAGCTCAATTTAGAAGGGGGAAAAAAAAAACCCTAAGCGCTCTATCACTAATTTGGAAATTTCTGCCTGATCTGGCTCCGTCTAGCACCTAGATCCTCTTCACTTCCTCCCTTTAAGCACAGAATTCCAGACATACCACCTTCTTTCACATCTTAAAACATTCTTGCTCGTTTTTGACTTAAGAGTACTGGCATTAACTGTTTATTCTTCCTGGAAAAATTGCCACAAAAAAAATTTTGCCATTCAGAAGTAAAATTTCATCTCTTTAAAGCAGCTTTTTTGTGAGCAACATTCTAAATAAGTCACCTAATTGTTCTGTAGAGCATTACAGGTTGAGTGAGCATCTCTAATTCAAATTCAAATCTAAAACAGGGAATTGGGTATAAAGTCCTAGGAAACTAAACAGATCAGCAGTGAAATAGAAGACATGAGCACCATTTAAACATACCAACACTAACGTATCTCTAGAATATTCTACACAACAATAACAAGGTAACACATTTTTTTTTTTTTGAGTCTCACTCTGTCGCCCAGCTGGAGTGCAGTGGCACACTCAAAGGCCACCGTAGCCTCAACCTGCTGGGCTCAGATGATCCTTCCGACTCAGCCTTCCAAGTAGCAGGAACCACAGGCATGCAGCAACATGTCCAGCATATTTTTTATTTATTGCAGAGATGCGTCTTGCCAAGTTGCCCAGGCAGTTGTCGAACTCCTAGACTTAGCCAGTCCTCTCACCTCCACCTCCCAAAGTGCTGGGATTACAGGTGTGAGCCACTGCACCCAGGTCAGAATACACATTCTTGAGTGCACATGCAACGTTCTCTAGGATAGAAGATATGTTAGGCTATAAAATAATTTTCAATAAATTTTAAGAGATTAAGCACAGAGTATATTATCTAAACACAATAGAATAAAATTGGAAATCCACAACAGAAGGAAACTTGGGATATTCACACATTTCGTGGAAGTCACAAAACACTCTCCCCTAAATAATCAATGGTAAAAGAAGAAATCACAAGGGAAATAAGAAAATACACTATGCGGCCGGCGCAGTGGCTCATGCCTATGATCCCAGCACTTGGGAAGGCCAAGGTGAGAGGACTGCCTGAGTTCAAGACCATCCTGGACAACTTGGTGAGACCTCATCCCTACAATAAATCAAAAAATTAGCCGGGCATGGTGGCGCGTGTCTGTAGTTTCAGCTACTTGAAAGGCTGGGACAGAAAGATCACCTAAGCCCAGCAGGTCGAGGCTGTGATGGCCATGAGCATGCCACTGCACTCCATTCTGGGCGACAGAGTGAGATACCAACTCAAAAAAAAAAAGAAAATACACTGTGGTAAATGAAAATGAAAACTCAACTTACCAAAACTTAATGGGATGCAGCAAAAGCAGTGCTTAGAGGAAAATTTATAACTGTAAATACCTGTATTCTTAAAAATCTCAAATCTGCTAGGTACGGTGGCTTATGCCTGTAATCTGCACACTGTGGGAGGCAGAGGCAAGAGGATTGCCTGAGCCTGTGGGTTCAAGGCCAGTCTGGGCAACTTGAGGAGACCTCGTCTCTACAGTAAATAAATAAAAAATTAGCTGGGCATGGTCATGCATGCCTGTAATCCCGCGCTTTGGGAGGCTGAGGTAAGTGGATTGCCTAAGCCCATGGGTTTGAGACCCGCTTGGGCAACTTGGCGAGACCTCATCTCTACAATAAATCAGAATTTAGCTGGGTGTGGTAGTACGCACCTGTAGTTCCAGCTACTTGGAAGGCTGAGGCGGAAGGATCGCCAGAGCCCAGCAGGTCGAGGCTGCAGTGGCCAGGAGCGGCCACTGCACTCCAATCAGGGTGAAAGAGTGAGACTCCAACTCAAAAAAAAAAAAAAACAAAACTCGAATCTTTCATCTAAACTTAAAAA